CAAACCCATCATTTATCTTAGGAAGCCTAGAAACAGTGCTTTAATCTAACAACTTTATATAGTTTTTATTACCTAGTATAATTAAAAATCTTAGCTATAAGCTAAAGTTCTTATTATTAGTAAATAATTTATTTATAAAAATAAATACCTTTAACGTACTTCATAGCCAAGTTGCTTACACACCTAAGTTGCTTACTTTTGCTAAGACCCTACCATAACAAACTCTATTATAGCCTATAACAACCCGCTCTAGCACTATATAGTACAGTACAGCCTAGAATATTATTTAGATACTACTTCTACTTCTTGCTTACATATTTATGTGTTATGCCTAGTCTAATTACACTATTTATAGCGCCTTTAGGATAGCTTACTTACTTTAGCTTACACTTACTTTTTTACTTTTTTTTTATTACTATGTGCTTTAAACTTCTTTAAAGCTATTAAGTATAGGCTTTTTTAAATTATTAAAGTTTTTTTTACTTTAATTTACTTTTTTTTATATAATTTATATTATATAGCAGCTTTATTAGCTACTTAAAGCTTAGTAATTTTCTATTACACTAACACTAGCTTATATATAATTATTACTACCTGTCTGTACGCAGCAGCAGCGTCACAGTCTGGATACAAGCGATCGCGCACGAGCAGGACCACGTATCTATGTCACATGATGCTTGTGCGCGAACCTCTGTGCGCGAACATCTAGATATCCCACTTTTCCTCTGTATAGAGGAAAGACAAGAGCAATAGAACTAGAAACATATTGCCCTTACTTTACCTACCTTGTATGCTGTGCACACTGTACACTACTCTTACTCTTACTACTTAAGTGCTTATACTATAAGTAGCTAGCTGTTAGAGCCTATTTAACACTAATTAGTAGTTAATTTAATTAACTATAAATTAGTAAGAGTAATAATAAAGTACTTACACTTTATAAAGTACTTTATTTTATTACCTATTTTTTAAAAAAAGTGATAATAAAGCACTTATACTTTATAAAGTACTTTATTTAGTTACTTATTTTTTAGAATAGCAGATTAATCCTTTGCATTATATAGCAAGCCCTACTACTATACAAAGTAAAGAGAAGATAGTGTAAGACGCACACTAAAACTATTAAAGCTGCACAACCTAGCAGCTAGATAATAACAGTAGTACCTGTGTAATCTACTACACAAGCAATTAACTCTATGCTTTATAAGGCACTTTGTTTTATTACTTATTTTTGTAAAAAAGTAATAATAAAGCACTTACACTTTATAAGGTACTTTATTTAGTTACTTATCTTTTAGAATAGTAGATTAATCCTTTACATTATATAGTAAGCTCTGCTACTATATAAAGTAAAAAGAAGATAGTGTAAGGCGCACACTAAAGCTATTAAAGCTGCACAACCTAGTAGCTAGACAACAGCAGTACCTGTGTAATCTACTAGAAAAGTAATTAACTATATGTTGCGTTTGCCAAAAGGTCAACCTCCCAGCTAGCACAGCAGAAGGATATATAGACGGATAGCTGTACGCGACACACCCCCCAGCTCGAACCGTGGAACGAGAGAGGTGAAACATGTTGAAACAACCTTAACACCCTCCCAGCCCGAGCAGAAGAACTTAGAGACGGATCCAGTAAGGTAGCCTCTGTAATAGACGCACTGCCTAAATGCTCTTTGCTGAGCGTGGGAATCGAACACGCAGTGCTCCGGGATAATGCGATCCTATTAGTGGAGCAGGGGTGCGCAAATTTTTCGTGCGCTAACCATCTACACTACGCCGCGAACCGGGCTCATAACTGTTGCGTTTGCCAAAAGGTCAACCTCCCAGCTAGCACAGCAGAAGGATATATAGACGGATAGCTGTACGCGACACTATACTATTATAATAAAATTTTATTAGCAACTAATAACTCTATGTAATAATAAAAAGAATAAGAAATAATTCTTATTATATAAATAACTTATAAAGAATATAAAGATATTAAAGGCAACACTATAGAATAAGACTAGCCTAGAGTACTAGAATAATAAGATTAATATATTAAAAGCTCTAATAAGCCTATAAACTTAATTATATATAAGTTATATAATTACTAATCTACATATAATAACTTAAAAAGGTGCTACTTTTCTAAGTTTATATATAAAATTTTTTTAAAAATAAACACTATAAAACTTTTTAGCACTTAGCTACATGTTTAAAAAAGAGCTTATATAAGTGCTAAAAAATAAAAAAATTACACTATAGCTAAGCACTAAAGGTACCTAAGCCTAAAAGCTATATAATATAGCATAAGAGAAAGTAATTACACTAAAAAAGCTTTATATGCAACTTTTATTACTATATAAAGCTCTGCATAAAAGCAGACTAAACATAATGCTACTATTAATACTAAATATACTAGCATTACTTACTTCTACACCTTAGCTAGCACTACACTAATTACTGTACAAACAATACATGCTACTCTATCTAACGCCTGCTCCACACCCTTAATTATACACACCACTGCCTGCAGTAGTGTATGCACTACTAATACCACCTGCATAATCTATACTATATTACAACCTGTACAAACTTCTACCTTAAAGGGAAACTACTAAAGAAAAACTTTTAGTAGACAAGATTATATAATTCTAAAAAGTATAAAAAAAAATAATAACTATATAGGTTAACTATAGTTATAACATTTTTATAAATAAAATAAGAATTTTTATTAATCTATATTAATAGCTAGATATTTAGAAAACTTAGTACATAGACATCTTTCTAAATATCCTAGAAAGTTAGGTAAATATGCACTATATGCACAACATAGGCTCTAGACATAACTAGAAGCATTTATATAACACTTTAAGCATTATAATAAAAAATTTTACGCAAAAAAAAGAAAAAAAAACTATAAAAAGTAAAGTTTTACATAAAAAGTAAAACTATTCTAGTAAAAAAGCAGCTTATTAAGTTTAATAGTAAAAGAATTAAACTTATACATAACATAGTAGTTTTTACTTAGAAGAGATAAGTAAGCTACTTTTATATAATTAACCTAAAAAATAAGGATGCTGCATAATAATATATTAAGTAATATGTAAAAGAGGCATACATTGCATCTATATGTTACCTAGAGGTAGCATTTAACCTCTTTATTACTGCACAAACTATAGACCCTTTGCATAATAATATTAACACACTTAACGCATAAATCTAATAGTAGATAGATAATAGTAAGTGTAGTCTTACCTTTCTACTATTATAGCTTAATTATGCAAAGCTATTTATCTTTATAGATAAATTATTTACTAATAATAAAAACCTTAGCTTATAGCTAAAATTTTTAATTATATTAAGTGTTGAATGGACTCTATGCTAGCTATGCAAGGCAAAGAGGTTTGCACGGTGTACACATCGCGCGGGGGGCGGGGGTTGCAGGTAACTGGTGTTAATTCTTCTTGTTCTAAGTCTGTGCGAAGGAAAGGGTATTTATCTGTCTGTGCGTACAACTGTGACACAAGACTATGTCACGTGACGCCTAACTGCGTATCTAAATACTACTATTTAGACACTAGCAACTTTTTCTTTTTCCTTTATACAGACCTTGCCTAGTTTGCCCTGCTTATACTACTAAAGCCCTTATAGCACAGCGCCCTGTTTATTGTCTTATACAGGCCTAAGCTTATTAACTAACGCTTTAACTTTAATAGTTAGTTAGTTGTGCAAAACTAGTTCCTTAAGGGCAGAGTTTAGCGCCTTCTTTATACAGGCATCTACTAGGTTGTTTTTCCTATTAATCTACCTAATTTCTATAATCTCTCTCTTCTTATATAATTCTTAAATTAACATAATATTAATTATAAGCCTCTTTTTATTTGTTGTACTAAGCTTTATAAAACATTTATACAGAGATCTTAAGTCTGTGCATAGTACAATAGGTATTAGAGGTAGTCTAAGCATATGTATAATCTAGTTAATTGTTGTGCTTAGTGCAATTGCGCAGTTAAATCCTCCCACTATTTTATATAATTTACTAGCTAGTATAGAGCAGGTAACCTGTTTACACTTAAAAGAGTTCTAGTGTATAATATTACCTATAATTTTAAAGTTGTATAAGTTTCTAGTGCGCTACTTTGTTCTAAGAATAATAAGAAAGCTAAGCTGTAAACTTAAGTTCTTATTATTTATAAATAATTTATTAGTAAAAATAAACAACTTTATATAGAAGAAATTAAGTAGTACATATAATAATTTTTAATTCTAGTTATTAATTTACTATTAAATTTATATGTTTAATGCCTTAATATTATTATACAATAGTAACACAACTTAAGCAGCAGTAGACAGGTTAAATGCTGCCTTAGGTTAACATACAGACGCAATATAGGCACCTTGTGCGCGCTGTTTAATGTACTTCTGCGTGGCGTTCTCTGTGTTTAGGTCTACTATATAGAGGTTCTTAGCTTGTTCTTTTTAAGTTAACAAAATTATAGTTTTATTTTATATAAGCTAAATTTTTTCTTTATTAAATTTTATAAGCTATTTATGTAATAATATTATTTTAGGCTTTACATAGAACTTAGCTTTCTGTAGTTCTTTTTCTTTACGTTGCGCAAAATTAGTTATAATAATACTAAAAGTGTTGTCTATTTGCAGCCCTGTAACTCTAAACGTTTTTATGCCTTTATACATAATTAAGAGACATAGATTATATAAGAAAGTTTTTATGTAAAGTTTATCTTTATAATAGTTATAGTATGTCTTAAACTAATACAAGCTAGATTCTGCTGCGCTATATAGTAGTTGTACAACTTTAAATATTGTGCGTAGAGAAAAGCTCTCCTAGAGTTCTCTTAGTAGTTGTGTAAACAATATTTGTGTAAGTTTGTCTGTTAACTGTACGTACGCTTAAGTAATATTACATAGCTTACAGTGCATACTGTATAAAGCTATTAGTAATAGGCTAATAGCTAGAATTAACCTTTAACTTATTTTCTAAATTATAGAGGACTATGTAAGAATCTTTTTCTTCTTCTTATTAAAATGTTTTATAAATACTAGTCTTAATTTTTTATATAGCTGTGTTAATTTCCTTTTAACTTTATATATAAGATAAAAGTTAAAAATCTGTCCCTTATAAACTAATAAATTATATAAAAGTACTTTAAACATGCTGCCTATAATTAGGCTTTTTATTTCTATATAGTCTAATTCTTTAAATAGTTTTCTAGGTGTTATAATTACACTATCTACATAGAGCTTAATTACTAAAGTGTAGTTATCCTTTTCTTTCTAGGTTAAGAACATTATGTCTTATATAAAATTCTTATATAGTCTCTTACAGCCTTTTTTAGCTAGTTGTAGTTTTAGTTTATACAATAAATTTAATACTACTTAAGGGGCTATTTTATGTAGTCTATTAATTAAAGTTAGTTACTTATGTAGACAACCTCTTTTTTATGCTTATAGAGGATCTCTTTATACTAGGGCTAGTTTATCTAAATCTAGCAGTTCTTATGCAGGTTTATCTTTATCCTTTATATAATAATACAGCATAACTTATGTGCAGTAGAGTCTTACTAGACTATTCTCTATCTTAATAATAATGTCTAGGGCCTTAATTCCCTTTACTATGTGCAGTCCTGTTTATCTTTTCTTCTTTTGCTATGTTTTTACCTTAGAACTAAGTAGAAGATTTAGGACTTTATATAATGTTAGGCTATTCTAAGTATTAATTATATAATTAACATTAACTTTTACTCTCTTACTTTAAAGCATTCTTATTGCCTTTTATACAGCATTAGCCTGCGTAGCAATGTTAGAGGATAGTGCAGAATCTATGTTAATTCTTAGGTACATTCTAAATATAAGTAATATAAGTATAAGACTATTTAGTTTTACTATATTATTTAAAGCTTTAATAGCTATCTGTAACACTAATTTATTATTTATATAATTATCTAATTCTGCATAGAGGATGTTATATGCACGTTGTAGTAGTGCGTGTGCGCGCTTAATCTTCTCTATAGCCTAATAGGCTTCTACTAGCATTTATTAACATGTTGCTTTTATAATCTTTGCGCAATTCTAGAAATCTTTAGATGCAAAGTTTGTACTAGGGTTATATACAATGTAATTAAGTAAGCTCTAATATGTGTTAATCTAACACTTATAGAGCGCGTTCTAGGTATCTTATGCAGACATTAATTTTAAAAAAGTTACTGCTTAGAATAATATATCTATGTTAATTATATATAGTATATCTTAGTTACGAATTTATACAACATTAATTACTATTTTATAATTAAAGTATAAATTATTCTTAATTATAAACTTAAATTTTTATAGTGCTAAGTTATGTAGCTAACACATGTAGCAGAACTTCTTAATCTCTTTAAGTATAAAGGGATTAGTGTTATGTCTAGCGTTCTTAAGCATTATGTAAAGCTGTTTTGTATAGGGATAGCTAAACCTTTTATATAGTTATTAAAGTTTGTGTTTTATAAAAAAAGACATTAATTCCTCTTTTTATATATTAAAAAATAAGTAACCTTATTTGTGTACAACTAAGACCTTAATTTTATTACTTTATATAATTATATTCTGCATGTTGTTAAAGTACGTATTTATCTAGTCTGCGTTAGCAAGAGATAGTAAGAAGGGTGTTAGCGTATCTAGTATGTAATATGTAACACTACTAACTAGATTAGTAATTTATATAGTACTAATTAATTCTATTAATCTTTATTTTTTAAAGCTAATACTCTTCTTGTTTAGTGTCTAGTCTACTTTTATATAAAGAAATTTTTATAAACATGCTTTAAGTTATAACTTTCCTATAGTAGAAATTCTTACAGCGCTAGTATTCTATAGTTTACCTTAGTATACTGTACAATATTAATCCTTAAGAATAAACTATTCCGCGTATTCTTTAGGTTCTAGGCTGTATATGTCCTCTGCTGTCGCACAGTAGAGAAATGCAGTAAAGGTAAGGTAGTTAATAATTTCTTTACTTTTCTTTTTATCTAAGTTGTTGTTATACAACTTCTCTTCTTTCTACTTTAGTTTACTTTTAAATTCTTAAATGTACGCGCTTACCTTCTTACGCGTTAGTGTCTTATTATAGAATCCTTTATATAAGAAGATGTACTAGCGTTTTGCACAGAACTAATTTATAGAAGGATAATTTATTAACTAATATTCTTTTTTATAGTAAACAAAGCATTACTTTAATTATATAAAGAAGTGTAATCTAAATCCCTTTAGACTTCTTCTATGTTATTAGAAACTATGTGTACAAGATAAGTTATATTTTCTATTAGTGTAGTATATGTCTTCTAGTTTATTTAGAAACATGTTATTCTACTAATTAATTATAACCTAAAGTGCTAAACAGAGGTTACTGTACAGTGCCTTATATATAGGCTTAATTAAGAACATAGCTTATTTAAGCTTAAGTTATCCTTAGCATGCTTATATAATAGTAGTATAAAGCAGTATCTTACCTTAGAATTATAGACTAAGAGCTTTTTACATAAAAGTAAGTTTATTAATTATAGCTTTAAAAGCTTTATATAAAGTTTTTATAAAGTTCTTTTACTTAATTTATGTAAAGCTTATTATTGTCTAATTTATCTAATACTAGTTATAATTTACATTAGTATTAAAGTAATTGCTAAGCTGTTTATACAGGACCCTCTACATCTTCTTAGGGCTAATATTGTAAAGGTAGAACATGTGTGCACAGCCTTTAAGAATATTAGGGAAGATGCTTATATACAAGGCCTTATAAATAGCAAGGCGTTAGCAGAGCTTAATAAATACTATAGCCTTATTAGCTAGAATATTATATAGTTGCCCTATGTAGTTATTCTTTTTCTTTTATGCCTTCTAAAATTATACAACCTTCTTAGGCGTAAGGTTCTCTACTGTAATATCTTATATAGGTAGAAGTTAGTATAAATTGTACAGTAATTAAATTATATGCAGTAGGTACAAGCTTTAGGGAATCTTATGCAGAGCTATAGCTACAGGAATATGTAGCTGCCTAGTTATGCTCTTATACAGTAAGCTATTACAAGGTGGTTGTACTAATTGCAGAGAAAGTATTAGGTCTACAGGTAATTTATACAGAGACATCCTCTGTAGCGTTAGAACTAGCGCTAGTAGTAATAGTTTAGTACAGTAGTCTAATAAAATAGTAAAAGCATGTTCTTTCTTTATAAGTTTATATAGTGTAATAGCTTCTATTTTATCCTTCTTAAAGCTAATGCTCTTATTCTATAAGGTAGTAATAAGTTCTTATAAAAACAATTAGCTAAGATCTTTAAAGTATATAAGCTCTTACTTTATAAAGTTATTTTAGAAGTTCTTAAGAGTTTATACATCTATTACGCTTAACATGTAAAGTTCTATAATTAAGTTAGCTGTGTATAAATTAAGCTTATTTTTAGATGTGTTATTTAATAGTTTAATCTTATTTACTTAATCCTTAATGTTTGTCTGCTCTGCTAGGGTCTTTGCTAAGATGCCTATAAAAGGTATGTATTAGTTATATGTTAATACATTATGCTAGCTAGTTATAGATAGAGCTAGTGTCACTTGTTGCTTTATAGTAGTTAGTTATGCGTTGTTGCGCGCTGTCTTACTTCTTGTTGTACGCTGCCTCTAAACAGCCTTGTGCAAAAAGATAAAACAGACCTCCTAGCGTTAAACAAGCACTACTATTTATACAGTACCTCTAAACAGTATTGTACAGACAGGTTTTCTACTCTTAGTTAGGTAACTAAACAAAGATTTACAGCTACTTACATGTAAATTAGACTCTGTCTTTTGTAACGATTCTCGTTCCATCTCGGGTCGCCCGGAACCCATCCGAAGGGTCCCCGTATCGGCTCCGACCCTGGCTCGACCCTGACTCGACCTGGCCCCGACTCTGCCCTGCCCCCTGCTGTTACCCCTATTCCCTCATGTATTTAGTCGCACCTCGCCCCCGTAGCTAGCTCGGTAGTTTTCTGATATCCTACGTACAAGGCCTATAGGTGTCAATGGCATTCCCAGGTTCAGAGTCCCCACGCACTCCCATATGCCTCTGAGTGGACTCCCACCGTATTCGGACCCATTGTCTTGCCTGCGCCGTTACATCTTTACTCTTACTAATTTATAGTTAAATTAGTAAGAAAAAGAATTCCTTTTATACATAATTTTTTAAATAAAAAGGTACAAGAAGAGCTTTCTATTTTACAGTATTTAAACTACTAATTAGTGTTAAATAGACTCTATGCTAGCTATGCAAGGTAAAGAGGTTTGCACAGTGTACACATTGCGCAGGAGGCGGGGGTTGTAGGTAACTAGTGTTGATTCTTCTTGTTCTAAGTCTGTGCAAAGGAAAGGGTATTTATCTGTCTGTGTGTACAACTGTGACACAAGACTATGTCACGTGACGCCTAACCGCGTATCCAAATACTGCCATTTAGACATTAAGTAATAAAAACTATATAAAGTAAAGTAACTACTTTAAAATAGTAGGTAATATTATACACTAGAATTCTACTAAGTGTAAAAAAGTAACTAGAAGTGTCCTTACTAGTAAACTGTATAGAATAGTTAAAAAGTTTAATAATGTAATTACTTTTAGTACAACTTTATAGTAAATTATATAAACACTTAAACTACTACTAATCTTAGTAGTAATTTATATAAATTTAAGGTCTTTATATAATTACCTTATTAAGCTAGGCACTACTAGTAAAAAGTAACTTATAATTAACATTATATTACTGTATAAATTATATAAGAAAAGAGAAATTACTAAAATTAAGTAAATTAATAGTAAAAATAACTTAGTAAATGCATGTATAAAAAAACACTAAATTAAGCTTTTTAATTATTAGTTCTAACTAACTGCCTCTCTGTCTAGATAGAAGCATCTGTGGACTAGCTAGATCTTATGCGCAAAGATGCTCTAAACTAACTAGACTAATAATACTTTTATATAAAGCTTATTTTTTTTTATTATACACACTTATTTTTCTTATTATAAGATTAAAAGAGAAGAATATGTAAAAAAAATAGTTTATTTGTCTAGTATATAAAAAAAGAAAAACACACCACCTCTTATATATAGTAGTTATAATGCAGACCACAGCTCTGCTATATGCATAAGGCGTAGGCATTAGCCTAGAAGTTAGCTAGCATATAACACTTAATAAAAAAAAAGCACTAGTAGTGCTACTATAATAATAAGCACATAGAGTTACTAAAACTTAACTATAACTTTAAACTAAAACTAT